GTGGTACAGTTATGGAGGCCCTTCATAATGCAGAGGTCAGCTGCTTTCTCTGCCAATAGTTAGAAATGGCCCTATGGTATGCAGTATTTCATAAACAGCTGTTTTAATAAATTCTGTTGAGGTGAAATTCAGTGCAGTCCCGTATCGTGATACGTATCGTATCGTGACTTTGATGGTGATACACAGCCCTAGTATATAGTGGGGGAATTTACCGTTAACCATTTAACAGGTTTTTACTGTAGCATTTTATAGTCTTTTACTGTTAAATTCACGGTAATTTTTTACAGTGTAGTGTTAAAACACTTATAGTGTGTCATTAACCTTGTCTTTTGTTTGTCTTTAGCCGATTCCATACTGGCTGTACAAGCTGCACGGCCTGAACATCAATTACAACTGTGAGATCTGTGGGAATTACACATACAGAGGACCCAAAGCCTTCCAGAGACACTTTGCTGTAAGTTTGCAAGAAAAATTATTCTATGTAGCAGATGATACAGGATCTCAGTTTACAATTGAGTTAGTGATTTTACTGACTTTTCATGCAGTTCCCAGATGTTTTCTGGCATCTTTACTTGGGTCTAATCATGCACTAATGAGAGATCTACTCTTAACGTGAAATAAAATACCTGCTAGTATGTTACACAGTAAAGTATAGAAACAAGTGTAAATGAACAAGTATTTGTAACTGCTACACTGTAAAAAGTAATCACTGAATCTACTTAAGAAGAGCGAGTAAACATAACTGATTTTTACAAATTTGTTGAATTTACTTAATTACACTGTGTTATGTGAACTTTCAGGTGGATGAAATAGTTAAACTAAACAACTTTAGTAAACAGTACTTAAGAGCATCTAGTTTGTTGGATTAAATCCCAATATGTGCCCTAATAACTCTAGACCAGTAGGTGGCGGAAGTGCACCAATAGGTGGCGGAAGGTTGGTTTAAACAAAGCATCACCAGAAGAAGACAACTAACTGAACTTCAGAGTCAGATCGTGTTTGAAATGTGGCTGCAAGATTAGGTAAGTTTTTGGTGATCTACTTATAAACTATATTGTCACAGTGTGTGCTATCGTTTTTGAGGAAAAGAAAAGGCAGATTTTATT